TGTCACACAGGTGTGATGCAGTGATTTGTGTCACACAGGTGTGATGCAGTGATTTGTGTCACACAGGTGTGATGCAGTGATTTGTGTCACACAGGTGTGATGCAGTGATTTGTGTCACACAGGTGTGATTTGTGTCACACAGGTGTGATTTGTGTCACACAGGTGTGATGCAGTGATTTGTGTCACACAGGTGTGATGCAGTGATTTGTGTCACACAGGTGTGATGCAGTGATTTGTGTCATACAGGTGTGATGCAGTGATTTGTGTCACACAGGTGTGATGCAGTGATTTGTGTCGTACAGGTGTGATGCAGTGATTTGTGTCGTACAGGTGTGATGCAGTGAGTTCTAACCAATAGGATGTCAGAATATATTTACACTTCTCATCCAACCACAATCAAACTCACTGTATCCATGGGCTCCATGTATCTGGATATGATTTCTATTGATTTATTTTTTTTTCTGAACAATGAAAAGATGGAATAAAAACAAGTAGAGTGAAAAATAATTACTCCACTAAAGTATAAATAACCAAAATTACTACTTAAGTAATGAAGCAAAATATTTGTACTTAGTTACTTGACACCTCTGCCAGACTGACATAAAAATGGGTCAATTTGTTTCAAAATGTTTTCTGTTAGTCAGAGTCAACGTCTTGCTAAAATATGACAGATCCTTTTAAAAAAACATCTGTATGGTAGCAGATGTTTTATATGTCCTGCACTGATGGAGTCTTTCCAGCTGAAACTGTTTTCAGACMGTGATGTCCAGAACAGAACCAGACCGCTGAGGGCCCAGAGATCATGACCATCCAATACTGACTTTCAGCCTTTGAGCTCAGAGATTTCTACAGGTTATAATAATCTGTTAATCTAATATTATACATCAGTCTAATTCTATCATCAACACTGAGAACAAAGAGGCTGTTTTTAGTTAAATGAGACAGATGTTTGGTTGATGGTCAAAAAGATACAGATCTAAAACTGAACACTGAGCACAAACTTTAGAATCCAGGAAACTAAGTCAAACTTCTGAAAACAACTTTTATATTTTATTTTGACACAAACATTACATTCTTCATGTCAGACACACCAAGAACACAATCATTAATCCATAAGTTATTTAAAATAAGGCACACAGTGATTCAAAGTGCTTTTCTAGAATCAGACAGAAACAATCTGTCTGATCAAACATTCAGTAACCTGATCAAAACTCAAAACCAAACATTCATCAATCAGCTGATGGATTTCCTCTGAACACTGTGACATCATCCACCCATCAACCAATCAGGATCGTCCTTCAGAATGATCAAACCCAGAACAAACATAGAAAGTGTCCTGGATCAGGTTCTGACAGAATCTGAGATCCTGACCCCCATCAGTCCAGAACAGATTAATAAAACTGATGTAAAGTGTTATTCCACAAATTTTACATCTGTTCATCACATCCARCAGAAACATGTTCCTCTTTGATCATCTTTAATCATAATTTCATAAAATCATTTTTAAAAAAATCACTATTTTATAAAATCATCTTTTTAAATATATAATTTTAAGACTGTTAAACAATAAAATGCTCAGGTTGTTTTAGTTTCAGGATCCATGTTCTGAATCGGTTTCCTCCTCTTCATCGGTTTTAGCATCAGTGAAGGTTGTCACATCTTCATCTTCATCCTGTCTTTTACTGAAACACACAAAGGTCAAAGGTCAAGCACTGATCCCAAATAAAACCTCAGTTTTTCCAACAGAAATGATCAAATAATAAACAACCAGGTTTAAAACTGATATTTAAATAAAAATAAGTAATTTTAATGAATTAAATTTATTTATTTGTATTGTGTTGTTTATTAGGATGTGTGTTTGTTGAAACTCACAATGCAGTTGTGTCCCGGAGCGAACGTCACGCCTTTCAGTACTCTGTCCTGAGATCCACTGCTGCTGCTGTTCACTGAGCTCCTCCTCATGATGCCTGAACCACAAACAAACAAACAAACAAACAAACAAACAGACAGACAGACAGACAGACAGACAGACAGACAGACAGACAGACAGACAGACAGACAGACAGACAGACAGACAAACACGTTTGAGTAAAATAAAATCTTATTTTCTGTCTGCGGGCTGCAGTGCACCCTCCCACCTGCAGGGGGCAACACATCCACTCTCTGCTGGCTGGTTTTGCGAGGTGGAGGAACAATTCCTGACTTGGAGGGACGACGATGGCGGTGGTTCAACATGGTGGCCGGGGCGACGATTCCAGGGGGCGGGACTTTCCCCTTCAGCCGGTAGAGCTCCTCCATCTCTCGCTTCTGACTGGCCTGRAGCTTCTGCACCTGCAGCAGGTGTCTGAGAGGAGGAGGGCGGGGTTAAACAAGTACAGACTGTGAATACCATCAGTCTGCTGAAACAAACATAAAATATCTTAACTTTATCAATCCTAACTTTAACTGAATGCCTGGATCAACAGACCTGCTGAAGCAATGTTTTTTTTTATCAACCAATCACCTTTGACGAAGCTCCAGTAGCTCCTCCCACAGCTCCTCGCCCTCTGATTCGTCGGAGCTGTAGGTTGCAGAGCGGCTCCGTGTTTGGCTGTAGCTGCTGCCACTCAGACTGGAGATGGCACTTAACTCCTCCCACAGATTGACGCTCAGTTTGCGACTTCCTGTCCTGTCCTCCTGAGCTGAGGGGTTGCCATGGTAACCAGGCACAGAGGATGGGCGGACGGCGTTCTCCGGTTGGCTCTCCTCTGTACTGCTTTCTGAGTCGCTCTCTGATCCCTTCCTCAGAGGAGGTGATGAGCCTGTGATGGGCGGGGCCTGGTCGAGGAGGTGGAGCTCTTGGTGAGGATCAGAGGAAGCATCTATTGATGGTGACACCTGGAAGCGTCCGACAGTGAAGGCTGATTTCTTCACTGTAGAAGAAGAGAAGAAGAAAGTTTCAGGAACTTTTCAAATAAATTAATTCCTTTAGTCAGCAAAGCATTTYAAATGTTCCTTTTAAAATATTTTATCTCATATGAAGAACCTTGTAGAAGGTTCTGTGTTTAATAACAGACAGGTGAATCATACCTTCCAAGGTGGGTGAGATTCTTGCTGATGGCGAAACAGGAGGAGAAACCTGAAAGAGAGATCAAACATTAAGTTTGTGAATGGATCAAATAATACCCATCTGCAGCCGCTTGTGCAACAAAACATTTCCCTTGTGCTACAAAACATTTCACTTGTGCTACAAAATGTTTCACTTGTGCTACAAAACACACCCACTTGTGCTACAAACCACACCCACTTGTGCTACAAAACACACTCACTTGTGCTACAAAACACGCCCACTTGTGCTACAAAATGTGCCCACTTGTGCTACAAAACGCGCCCACTTGTGCTACAAAACACGCCCACTTGTGCTACAAAACACGCCCACTTGTGCTACAAAACACGCCCACTTGTGCTACAAAACACGCCCACTTGTGCTACAA